TAAATCAGCATCTAATTCAAGCCCAGTTAGAGAGGGATTATTACAATGAGAATACTAGACTAGTAAGAAAGCAAGAAAATAACATTACCGCCCATTATAGTTTTGATTGGTCTCAAAATATTCAAGTCCCTCACTTCGACCAGCAACCTAGTCAAATGTATTTTCTTACGGCTCGAAAAGTCCATTTATTCGGAATACAAAATGAACTAAATGGCGAACAAATTAATTATGTTTTGGATGAAAAGGAACTATTGAATAAAGGAATTAACGGAACTTTAAGCCTAGTATTTAACGGAATTAAACAATTTAACCGAGGAGAAAAGCACTTAAAATTAACTTGTGATAATTGTGTGGGTCAAAATAAAAATAATGTAACCCTTTGGTTATGTCTCTATCTAGTGATTTGTGGCTATTATGAAAGTGTGGAATTAAACTTTATGATAGCAGGGCATACCAAGTTTAAAGTGGACGGGAACTTTGGGATGATTAAGAAAAAGTATAGAAAGTCAACTATTTACATCAAAGAGGATTTTGTTAAAGTGGTTGAAGGGTCTAGTTCCCTAAATAAAGTTCAATGCTACAAAGATGGCGAGGGATTTAAGTATTATGACTTTAAAGTTTTAGAGAAGTATTTTGAGAAATTGTTTAAGATAGGAAAGTATCATCACTTCCTTTTTAGTGCTAATAATTTGGGAGTAGTAAAAGTTAAAGAGTTTGTGGATAGTGAATGAGAGGAGATTAGTTTATGGAGGGATAAAGATAGGGTTATTGAAAGTATTAGAGAGATTAGAGGTTTGGTATTTGCTATCCTAGAACCTAAGCCTTTGAGTTTAGAAAGGCAGGAGTATCTTTGTGAGAACATTAGACCTTTATTACCGAAAGAATATTGGGATAATAATCTTTTACAACAAAATTAAAAGTAATGAGTTTTTAGATTTAAAACTTATGAGAGAAATTAATGATATAATTTTCTATTGTTTTGATTGCTTCTGTAAAATGTTTTTCCTTCTCTGTTTCTGTCGTAGGTTATTTTTTATAAATCTCTATTTTGGCTTCTATATCTTGGAGAAGCTGTTGGCTGGCTTCCTGACCTCTTTTAATTCTTTCTCCCAACTCTTTTCATTCTTTCTTTTCTTTTCTTTGGATTAGAGTTTTAAGCAATTGGTTCTCCTCTCGTAAATTGTTTACTTGTCTCTCTAACTCTGCTATTCGCTCATCCTTAATAATCAATTGGGAGGCTTGGGATTTTAAGTTATAATTCTCTGACCTCAGCTGCTCTATTATTTCTGTGGCTTTGTTTGTTTCGGCTTTCACCATGCTTTCTACCCTGTCAGTAGCCTCCTCTACCATTTGCTTTAACTCCTCCTCTAACTCCCTAATCTTTTTCTGGTGTGGGGTTTCCACTACAATCGGAATAGGTTTACAATTCGGAACAGATTTGCCCATAGAACTAGAACTGAAAGCTTCCTCGTATTCATCGTAAGCAGTGGGGTAATTAGGTGTGGGGTTTTCATCCGCTCATTCTTGGTAAGCCCTACGGTTCTCATTTCTCCTTGACATCGAACAACTAGGACAAAAATTATCCCCAAAACCGCTACTTCAAAACCTATTTCTACATTCTAAAAAATTAATACATTCTCTTTCTGGCATAACTTTTACTTTGTATTTTCATTAAATATTTTCTCTCTTTCGGCCTCCTTTTCTTTAATCTTTTTATCTTTTTCTTTCACTCATTCTAAATACTTTTCTTCGCCTCAAAGATATTCACCACTGACATTGTGGCATATTATTATTACCTTTCAAAAATAACCTGAACCAAAATGAGGGTCATAAGGTTCGGCCATGTTTTTTCTCACATTGCTTGTTCCTGTTTCGGCTTTTCGGGCATAATAAAATCCTTTTCATGCTTCGGCTAAATACTTAACTCGCTCCATTTCGCTCATTTGTTCTATTTGTTTTCTGAACTCGTTTAATTTTTCTGTCATACCCCTATTTTATACTTTTTTTCTTGCCTCTCCTCCCCCTTTTTAGGAGATAAATAATTCCTCCCACCGCTAATAAAACAATCACTCCTCCCCCAATTCATCACCACTTTTTATCAGTATTAGTCTGATTAGAGGAATTATTAGATGAAGGATTATTTTTAGCACCATAATCAAGTCCTAATTCCGAAGCCAAGAGGGATTTTTTATTAACTTTTTTCATCCTATCCCGAACAGTTTTTAGTTGGTTATTGTCAATCGCCACAGTCTTTTTAGTCCCGTTGCTATATTCAATTACTAATTTTTCGCCCTCAATATTTATCTTTTTGATACTATTTTCTAGGAAGTATTTGATAACTGTTTCTAATTCCTCAACCCCTTTTAATTCCTGTTTTTTGTTGGTTAATTGAGTTTCTTGGGTCGGAGTTTTGTTGTTAGTGGCTTCCAAGTTGGCTATTTCTGCCTTTAACTGCTTCTTTTTTGTTTCTGCTGTTTTTAATGGACTAGTGCTAGAAGTGGCAGGGAATGGACTGCTTGGAGGAACGCCACTACTGCTTGGGGTAGAACTGACACTGCTACTTTTTCCATGGACTAGTTTTTTTAACTCCTCATAATATTCTTTGCCTTCATCCGTAAGTTCTTGTCCCTCCTTCTTGGCTTCGGTAAGTTGTTCCTCAAACTCTTTTAGCCGACAATTAGGGCAAGCATTATTAGTGAAAAAAGAAAAGTTGTTGGCAATTAAAATCCAGTAATTATCAGCGGTTATTTTTCATTCTTTACCACAATCCTTACCTCCGCAGTTATTTTCACATTTTATTAAGCATTCGTGGTTAATAGTTGGCTTTCCTAATAACTCCTTACTTTCTCCGTGTTCTATTACAAATCTTTTCTTTCAGTTGGGTTTAGTCTTATCATAGGCTTCTTTGCTGGCTGTTCTTTTGTGGCAATACCTACAATATTCTCAATAGGTGCTATGTATGGGGTGTAATGTTTCAGTTCCTCCACAACCTTTACACTGGATATAACTATTACTTCAACTGCTGGGAGTAAAAGATTGATGTGAGTTCTCCCATCTTTTATGTATTCCTTTATCACAATTCCCATCTATTCCACGGCAAATCAGGCAAGGAGTTTTAACCTCATAATCTACTCCACAGATATCTAACCATCTATCGCATTTTTCACAATAGCGAGTATATTGTCAAGTGGAGGGGTCATCTTGGGATGGAAGTGGGGAGGTAGGGCTGCCAGAACCATTATCCTTTTTCTCTTTACATCCCGAACAGACTTTTATCCTTTTGCCCTCTTTTTCGATAATTACTAGACCTTTTCATCATTCATCCCATTTATCAATATCATCGCATTTTTTTTGGCACTGCTCGCACTTGGTATATTCAAAGGCACAGTCCTTACAAAATAGATTGGTTTCTTTATTCTCCCCTTCTAATTGAACCTCGGCTGAACTCTTTTGACATTTCTCACAGGGATTGCCTTGATTTTGCTCTCTCTCTCTCTCTCTCTCTCTCTCTCTCTTACTGTAAGATATCCATCCTTAATATATTGTTGATAATCTTTTAGCACATTGTTAATTTCCATCTTTTTAGTTTCTCAACAAGGGCAACAAAAACTCCCTACATAACGCTTTTCTTTCTCATTGTCGGGCATTATATCCCATTCTTGTTTTAGTATCTTTCAAAGTCCATAATACTTTCCTGCTGGGATTTCATTTTTACAGTTGAAACATTTTAGGATGGGTTCTGACATAATATTATAATTTTATCTATTTCTATCTTTAAAAGTATCTTTGAAAGACTATTTTAGATTATCCCGTATCCATAAATAAAAATAGGAATTAGTTGGGTTAGAAAAAAACCTATAAAATAGGGGGTATAATGAATGAATTAAATATAAGTAACGAAGCCCTATTAAACGAATTAAGCGAAAGAATTAAAAAAGGAGAAATTAAACTCCAAGGTAGACAATTTATAACCAAGTCAGAAAAAAGTGATAATAGTTATTATGCTTACACTTTAAAATTGAATGTCGGTTATTTAGTTAATGCTGTTATTGATGATTTGAAAAATGAGATAAGGCTTTTAAAAAAGGAAAGTGAAAGATGAGAAAAAGAATTAGTGGAATATAAAAAAGCGAACTTGAAAAGTCAGTAAATCATCCTAAAATATTATTATAATGAATGACAATCAACAAATCCTAGGGTATAATTGTGATGGTTGTTTAAAACTAATCCCTAACGGTCAAGAGAAAACTTGTATCATTACTAACAACGATGAAACTGAGGCTAGGAAATGCCTCCTTTGTAATTCGTGTAATATACGATTTATTAAACCTTTATTTGACCTAGAAAATAAAAAGATAACAGCAACCCCAACTTATGAGAAGTATATAAAAGGCGAAGACTTTTCTGACAATACGAAAAAATTAGCAAAAGAATTAGATTGTGTTAGATGAGGATTGCCAAGAAATGTTAAAAAAGAATAAAGGAGAGTTTTAGAAAAATAAATTAAAAAAAATAATTAGTTAGAAATTAATCCTTACTTTTTATCTTTTTAATAATACATTACTCATTTAATATATATTTTACAAATTAATGCCAAAACTGTTCGCTAAAAAATATATTTACCTTTGAATTTTTAGTATCTTAGCAATTCTCCTTTTGCTAGTAGGAATAGTTATGTTCTCGCAGTCACGAGCCAAACCAAAGAAAAAAGAATTAGAGCCTTTGAAGTCCGTAATTATTCAACCAACTGCAAATCATTCGGCTAGTGTTATTTTCCTTCATGGTTTAGGAGATAACGCCACTAATTGACAAAAAAAATTAGCACCAATTGCCCGAAATCATCCCCATATCAAATTTATCATTCCCCAAGCACCAGAAATCCCAGTTAGTATGAATTGAGGTTGAAAAATGCCAGCTTGATATAATATTAAAGGTAATGCTCGTGATATTATGAAAATCAGGTCTGCTGAAATCAGTTGATCAAATTAAAAAAATCGTTCAGTCAGAAATAAATTCCGGTATCTCGGCAGAAAAAATTATGGTGGTAGGTCATTCCCAAGGAGCCTCAGTAGCCTTAGCAGTTGGTTTAACTTCCGATTATCGTTTAGCAGGGATTATTGGGTTAAGTGCTTTTTTACCATGTCGTAATGAAATATTTAGTTGAGCCAAGCAAGAAAATAAAATTATTCCTTTTTTTCTTTATCATACTTATTATGATGATATATTACACTACGCAAATAAAATGTTAATTTTTTTTAATCTATTTTTAACTCTTTTTTTCTCTGATTTGTCTTTCTT